CAGCCACCAAATATGATTTAGGCCTCTACCCAGTTAATCTCTAACATATTGGATTTTCTTCATAGGCTTTTCATAATCTGTATTTCAAATAATTTTTTTTTTTCTTTCTCAAAATCTATCTCCTCTACTTGGATGTCAGAGTCTTTGTCTCACTCATCACTGTATCCTCAGTGCCAAGCATGGAGGCTGGAACACTGCAGGGACTTAATAAAGCCTTGTTAAATAAATTATTGAGTTATTGCAAAAGTACTACAGGAGAAATATTGGTAACTGACCATACAAAATGGCCAAAATCAAGCAACTCTTTAGCCTTTTGTCTCTAGGCCAAGTTATTGATGAACATTGTAACAATGTAGTTCTCTGTTAGAGTCCAGCTTAATGCTTGTTATAAGCATGTTAGAATGCAATGCATTATTTAATTCAGATCCATCATCATTGGTATAACAAGATACATAGTTTATTTGATTTGAATTCTGTACTTACACAAATGTCCACTTTCTATATTTGGGAATGATAAAGACTTACCTTATTATATAGAGTTTCATGAAGATCAGGAATTGGTTGTGGGTCAGATCCACAAAGTTTTCTCATTAGCAAATAATTTAAAAAACGAAAGCCATCCGAAGAATCCACTTGTTATACATGCAACATCACTTAATAGCATTTACTTGGTGCAATTAATGTGCTTATGTTCTTTTTCTCATTGTGTGATATAGTTTGAGACAACTAAAACATAGAACCAAAAAAGTAGGTTAAAAAAGAACTGCTTGACTTCCATATAGTTATAAGCAAGAATCTGAAGACATCATCTATAGTCTTTTATTTAAGTATCAACTAAGACAAAAAAGGGTAACACATCATACATGTGCAATTCTAAAATATCTTAGATCAAATAAATGCAAATAGATTAAAAGACATTGATTCCCACTGTGCCAAATAGAACCATTTCATTGAATCTTAAATTTTAAATTAAATTTCTCTTGTATCTACTTCAAATACACTCATTTTTTTTTTTTTCTCTTTTCTAACTCAGAAGGAAAAAATGTTCCATTTGTACTCCAGGTTAATTAGACCCCAAGCATCCTTAAATCCAGCCCTTTCTTCCTTTTCTTTCTCCATCTGGAACCTTACTTTTGCATTTTTAATATGCTCACTATTGTTTTCTTCCTTTCTCAAAACTCACAAACAAAAATCTTTCTTCCGCCTTGTTATCAGTTCAAACTACCATCCAAGTATCTATCTTTTCTCATGTACAAGTTCCAAATAATTCGTATTCACAGTGCCTATTTTGCAATCTGGCTTTTGTCCTCAACCCACTATTCAAATTGCACTCTTGCAGCTCACAAATGATTTGCCTAATCAGCAAATCTTTTTGAGCCTTCATGCTTGACATTTTTGTTTTTGACAGTTGATTATCCTTCCTTCTTGAAACTCTCCTTGGTTTTTGGGATATTGCACTACTTGGTTCCTCCTCTTCAGCAAACTGCTCTTCTTTTCATTCCACTCATGGTCTTTTCTGTCCAACCCTTTAAACTAAGGAGCTCCCCAAGGCCCTCTCCTCTTCTCCTGTTAACCTTTCCCAACCACGCTTCTGTTTCAAATACCACTGCCATGTGAACGATCCCCAAGATTACACCCAGACAGTATCTCTTTTGTGAACTCCTAACCTATGCTTTCAAATGCCAACAGGACATATCTACCTTAGTATTCCTCTACCATCTCAAATACGTATCCAAACTCATCATCTCCTCCAAAAAATTCTTTTTCTTTTTGCTAATGGTTTAACATTTTCTCAGCCAAGATGTAGGACTTTGATTCATCTCTTACTCCTACTAACTTCCCTTCCAAAACTTGAAATCAGTAACAAAATTCTTTCCATTCTTTATGTTCAGAGGTACATTGATCTGTTGTGATCTCCCCATCACCATCACTTCCACCACTAAGGTTAAGGCTGTCGTCACCCCTCACCACCAGATCACTTCTTAACTGGTGTCTCATTCCAGTTTCTCCTCAATCCAATCTGTCCTCCTCAACGCTGCCAGGCCATTTTCCCTAAAAAGACAGTTCTGATCTGAACACTTCCCTGATCAGGAGTCTCTAACAGTTTGATTATCTCTAGAATAGATCTAGATTCCCTAACCTGGTTTTCAAGAACTTCATAGTTTGGCCTCAAACATGTACTTTTTTGGTCTTACAAATGTATCAATTTTGTTTCTGTAACTTGGTGTTTAAGAGTATGGACTCTGGGGACACCTGGGTGGCTCAGATGGTTAAATGTTAAATTCTTGATTTTGGCTCAGGTCATGATCCCAGGGTGTGAGATGGAGCCCAGCATCGAGTTCCAGGCTGGGCGTGGAGCCTGCTTAAGATTCTCTCTCTCTCTCTCTCTCTCTCTCTCTCTCAAGAAAAAAAAAAAAAGAAAGAAAGAAAAAGAAAAAGAAAAAGAAAAAGAAAAAAAAAAAGAGAGTATGGACTCTGAAGGCAGATTGCTAAGTTCAAATCCTAGCTCTTTCTCTAACTAGTTATGTGACCTTGGACAAGTTTCTTAACTTCTTTGTGCCTCAGTTTCCTCATTTATAAATAGAAATAATAAATAATAGCACTAATTCTGTTATGAAAATTAAACATATGAAAAGTGCTTAATTTTGCCTGGCATATAGTAAGTTCTGTATTACGTGTTTCATTGAACAAATATTTACTGATATTTACACATGTGTATATATGTCAGGAACTTTTCTAAGGACCTGGGGATAATACCAGTGAACAAAATAAACAAAAATCTTTGCCCTGTGGAACTTCCATTCTATAATAAAAATGATTATTATCAATTGTCCATAATTCTATTTCTGCAATACCTTTCCTCTTGCATCATCATCATCAAAATTCTACCCTTCCTTCAAGATCCACCAAAATGCCACTCTGCCCCTTGAAATGTTATCACATTTATCACATATACTATCAAATATCAACCATATTAAATCTTATAGTTCCTTGTACAGTTTTATTTCCCTTGATGCAGTATAGTGTCAGCTGTTATTCCTTTCATCCTTGTAAATAGTAGCAGGATGTACCTTGCACCCAAGCACATAGTAGATGCTCAATGAATGAATGAATGTAGGCAAAGAATACTTTACATGATCTTTCATTTAACTTCTAGTGATTAATCTTATGTTCTTTAACTGAAAATATAAAAGATTTAAAACATAGATCATTTTATTTTCAACTCGGGAAATATCAGATATCAATATCAAATTTTCCTTGTTTACTACTTGGCTTTATTCACCATCATCATTTGGGACCTTATTCACTAGTAGCCCAATTTTTGTTGTTTGCTTTGCTATGTATACCCTACAGGATATTTAATGTCCCTTGTTATCACCAGTTAGAAAGTGCCTTTAAGTTTTTATTACAGGAACCAAGTGGATAAAGTATATTTTATTTGTATATTTTCCACGTGTAGCACAGAATTTTCCCATTTCTCACTTCCTTCCTAACATGAAAAAATTTCCAGTTACTCATCTGCAATACTGTGGTTCATTAGTTCTTGTTTTTCCTCCATTCCAAAGAACTGTAGATGTCTAAAATTTGTTTTTATTGCATCTCTAATAAGAAATTAGTTTCTTTTCCTCAGTATCAAGTTTCTTCCCTCTAAATTTGCTTGCTATTCTCTATCCATGACTGGAAAGACCAGACTGACTATAGGTTGTCTTGTACTTTCTAATTTGTATTTTCACAATGCTGTAGATCACAACGCTATGATAAAATGCAGAATATATTAAAAAAAAGTTTTTTTAATGTTTACTTATTTTTGAGAGAGAGAGAGAGAGAGAGCATGAACAGGGGAGGGGTGGACAGAGGGAGACACAGTATCTGAAGCAGGCTCCAGCCTCAAAGCTGTCAGCACAGAGCCTGAGGTGGGGCACAAACCCTTGAACCGTGAGATCATGACCTGAGCTGAAGTCAGATGTTTAACCGACCGAGCCACCCAGGCTCCCCAGAATATATTATACTACATTTCAATCATCTTTACACCACTTACCCTTGCCACGTATTCTTAACTATTCCTTTTATCCAAGCAGAATCCCATCAGAATGGCATGACAATCTTCTGTTTTTTAATAACACGCCAACACAATAGATTTTTAAATAATGATCAAGGATTTTTTTTATTCATTAAGTTTCAGTATCATTACAGAAAATGTTATGGTACAGAGTTGTTTAACATTATTTTTTCTTTGCTCTTGATTTCCACATGAATGCTGGTAACACTAATATCTGTACAAGATCAGTCTTTGATTTTATTTTTTGTTCTGTACAATTTTAAATGTATTGGTTAAAAAGGCTGTCAGCACTTAAGGAAGCATTTTTCCCCCAGTTTGTTTATTCAAATAAAAGGTATCCAGTTACCGCCCCAGAGTACTGTGCCATGAGGCTACCGGGGTGAGGCGCCTCCCAGGCGCTCTGCAGGTGAGGGTGCTCCCTGCAGCAGGGCTGGGCCTCCACCCGGTCACTCTTCTGTTGGCACTGTGCACATAAACACGATACATGATAAAGAACAAGCAAAAGCTCTCTGAAAAGCGGTTATGAAGCATACTAAGAAGGGAAATCCAAGTGTTGCCTACGCTAGTATAAATAAGCAGACAGCCTTGATTAAGAGCATAATTAGTTGTATTTTAAAGATGAGAAAAACACAAGTTCTGCAGGCACCTACTGCTGTCTACTAAAAGCTATCGCTATCAGACCTAGCATTGAACACACAAAGCAATTTGCAAGAAAGAAAAAATTTGCTTTGATATAATCAGAATAGAGTTGTCTGTTAAGATTTATTTTTAGGTGTTTTTTCTTTAAAAGGTATTTAAATTCTTTTGAAATATAGTTCAAGATGTTGACTATACAGATCAACTTTTATCCAGATCAGAAAAACTAGCTGTGCCGTTGCATATTACAGGATACAGTCAATGATATGTGGACATGCATCAAAGCTTTCTCCCTCTGGGACCATCATAGCCGTCCAATGACCATGACATCCACCACCTCGCCCTTGTGGAGTTCCACGTACTGCTCTGTCTTTGGAGGTAGCATCAACAAGCCATTGGCGCTGCGCATGCTCATCAGACGGCTGCTCATCTGATTACCTAGAAAGAAATATCTCATTACAGCAGCATAAGCAGCACACTGTGTACATTTGGAGCCCTTGCGGTTCTTTTCAAAATAAACACCCATGAACAGAAACACAGGTCTTCAAGAGGAAGAGAGAAGATCGGACTTCCCAGTCCCTTTTCCAGGTGGCCTTGCTACTGTATCCTACTACCTTCTCACTAAACTCTAAAAATAAACAGCAGAAATTATTGCCTAAAAAGAATAAAATAGGATTTTATAGCATTATGCAAAACGCCATAGAATTTCTCAGTTCAGGCTAAAAAATGTTATGTGTGTCTGAAAAGAGAGGCTTTTAAAACTTATTTAAAACAAGATAATAATAGCAGTGGCTACCACTTTTTTTTAGTATTTATTAAGTACCAGATAGTGTGGTGGGCATTTTACTTAACTATCTTATTTAATTTGCACAAGACTCAAAAGAGGTTAGGTAATTTGCCTACAGTCCTACTAACTAGTTGGTGGCCAATTTGAATGTAAGTCTGGGGGAGACACTGCCTATGTACTTATTCCCTCTGTTAACTGATGTTTGCACTTGATAGGACCTTTGTTTAGAGGGTAATACAGTTTTCTGGAGACACATCAGAAGTTATATAACTATGACTAGACTACTTGGGGATAAAAGTTTAAAGTGTAGAGGCGGTAACTATAGAATACTTGAGTTATCAATATTGATTTCTCAGTGCTTAAAATTTACCAATATTTAAGGTATAGTAGAGGCTACAGAGGATCACATTATAATTGAGCTTTAATCTCACATTTCAGAGTAGCATAGTCATAGTACAACCAAAGTTGTGCTCAGAATTTAGAGGTTGAACAAATAGACAAAAATCTTCCATAATTCTAAATTTGTGTTTATCTAGAAAATATGGCTCCATGGAATAAGTAAAATTTTGTTTTTACTCTTATTTTCTTCTTATGCTATACCATTAGGGAATAATTTAACTCATCTACTCTTTCAAAAAGGAAAATGTACAACAATTACTAAATTAGGTGTGCCCAAGGAGGGGGTTATGCATAAATTTTGTGTTTTAATGGGATACATGGATAGACATACCCACAGATGTGAATGACTAACCTGTGCTCTGTGCCCAAGGCAGTGGTTCTTGGTGATGCCAAGTCAATATACAGCGATGGTATTCTGGGCGAGGATCCAGTTTGACATCACATGATAACTATAGAATATAGAGTAAATGAAAACAAACTTGATCACCTGATCATCCCTTAAAACTACAGGGTGGTGGAAATTGTGCAAAGAATAAAGTAGACATGGAAAATATCTTGGCATTCTGCTGTTCCCACCTCTACCACCTTATGTTCTTAATACAGAAGTCCAGAAGTTGGGTTGTTCCAGTGAAAAGAGAAGACTAAGAAGTTGGTATTCACAGTGGGGAAAAGGGCAGATGAAAAAGAGAAGGTCTATTTTTGAAGTCTAATTTTATGGGTTGATAGCACAGGTACCTCTGACCTATGAATTGAGAAAGCAGATATTTTAACACCGAAAAATAAAAGAAATAGACCTAAAGAAACAAGCTCAATATCTATTTATATGTACGTCCATCCATCCATCCGTCCGTCCATCCACCCGTCTGTCCATCTAATAAATATTTACTGAGGCACTCTTCAGCTACCAATTCATACACCTATCTTTAACATAAAAGGGACACTTTCTTTTACTCCTGAATATTCCCCATGTCCCAATACTGACCATACAATCTCTTTCAGGCAAATAAAAGTAGTCTCTACTAAAAGTTATACCATTTTTGTTTAGCCACATCACTGGTAATAAAAGAATTATGGAATGGCATCTTTCATATCTTTCCATTAAGGATGAAAACCTTTCTAATATAGCAACTTCAGTTTACACATGCAATGTAGAATGACTAATCAACCTTTAACCTAGAGCCATTAAAAAAATCTATTTCATTAAATTCATCTTGAAATCTGATAAATCAAAGTGATAATGTCTTGGTAGTAGGTACCTAAGAGGTATTCCTTGAACAAGTTTATATAGTGTATAATTATGGACGATAGCCTATCAAAGATTAGTTCAATTTTGGTGAATATAAGACTTGTTCCAGTGTATGAGAATTAACATTTTCCATTAGCACAATAATCATTGAAGTTACTCTCCTTAAAATGGAAGAGAAACCTTTTATTCAACTAGAACAGGTATTGCTTAGATCAAATGATTCAATTACAGCTTGAATATCCTAGAAATTTTTGTATTTTCATTTTCATTTGTTTCCATATATTTTTAAATTTCTTTTCTAATTGGCTGGTGGACCCATTCATTCTTTAGTAGGATGTTCTTTAACCTCCATGCTTTTGCAGGTTTTCCAGACTTTTTCCTGTGGTTGATTTCAAGTTTCATAGCATTGTGATCTGAAAGTGTGCATGGTATGATCTCAATTCTTTTATATTTATTGTGGGCTGTTTTGTGACCCAGTATGTGATCACAGGAAACCATCAA